ATGGCCAACTGCACAATTCGAGTCCCGGACCTGACAGCTTGACTATCACATTGGGTGCATATGCATATGTACCCAAAATCCCAAGAAAAGACTGTAGGAGAAGGAATTGTGGCATGACCATTCCTCCCCAGTGTGTGTGGGGGGATTCTCATTTTCTCTCTCTGGCAAGTACGCATGGGCTATAGCAAAACACTAAAAAACACAAAGAAAGAAAGAAAATGTAGTTTTGTTCTCGTGCTTTTTAAAATTTTAATTTCTAAAAAGCATTCTTTTAAAATTAATTCTTAAGCCCAACCTAGGTAGCATAACCCCTAGTATATTGGATTGCAGTGCTGTAAAGTCACACAGGCGATGACAGGTTAGGATCCTTGGTCAGCCTGAAAACACTGTAGACACATGCACAAGCACCTGAGACTCTGAAGAGCTGGCAGACTGGGGAAAGGGGTTTGCAGTGTGAGGAGATCCTGTTGAGGGTAGAGTCTCTCTCTCCCTTTCTCTCATTTTCTTTTCTTTGGTCTGTGCACATGTGCGGTCAGACCAGCATTCTCTTTGGTCAAGAAATAATATTAGATTATCATAAAAGTCATGATGCATTTTTGCATCAAAAAAATGACGTTTTCAACAACTCAATAGATAAAACTGTATTGTGGGGGCACCAACAGGTGGCATGGTGGTTAAGGCGCTGGACACTCCCACATAGCCAACCACAGTTGGAGTCCTGGACCTGATGTCTTGCTTTCTCTTTCTCTCTCTCTGCATCTCTCTCTGGTCAAATTTTTAAAATGAATGAATAAAATAAAATAAAATAATTCTTAAAAAATAAAAAACTGTATTGTGTACCTAATGCTGATACTCTCAAACAACTTTTCTCCCATTTTAAAAATGAAAGAAATTGAGCTTGGGCCAGTAGGTGGTGTCGTGTTTAAGGCACTGGATCCCACATAGCTGACTCCATGGTTCAAGTTCTGGACCTGACAACTTGGAAAACATGCCAAGCATGTGCATGTGCATGCCCCAAACCCCCAGAGAATGGAGAAGGGATTGCAGTGTGACCATCCCCCCCCTGGAGAGTGACTTATCACAGCCCCTCTGTTTGTCTCTCTCCTGTGAATACACACACCCTAAGACAAAAATCTTTTTAAAAAGAAAGAAAGAAGGAAATTGACGATAGTTCAGAGTCAGTGATAGAGCTGAACTATGAGCCTACAGCACTGCCTCAATATATGCCAAACTTGTCAGGCATTTAGGATACAAATTAAATAAGGCATATTCCCTGCTTCCAAACTCATGGGCTGGTATTGTGCTTTGGTCTGCTATGTTAATCTGCTCAGTTTCCATAACAAAATTGTACAGGTTGGCTAGCTAAAACAACAGAATTTTCTCACATTTCTGGAGACTGGGAAGTCCGAAAGCAAGGTTCTGGCTGATTCAGTTTCTGGTAAAGGTGGTGAGGGTCCCCTTCCTGGTTTGCACACAGTCACTTTCTGTGTTTTATGTCCTCACATAGCCTTTCCTCTGTGTCTAGGATATGGTGGATAGTAAGCTCTCTGGTATCCCCTCTCTAAGGACACTATTCCTGTTGGATCAGGACCCCACTCTCTTAGAGCCTCATCTCCAGATACAGTCACGTTGGGAGTCTGATTTCACCACATGAATTTGGAGGGACAAACATTCAATCCATAGCAGCCTGCCAGTCTTTTGTGCTAAAATCTTATAGGTAGTGTGGGCTCAGGGGTTTTTTTTAGTTAGCAGTGGGGTCTCAAAGTTTGCCTCCTCAATGTATTTCACCTTATGCATATGAGATCTCTTAGTAGTGATCAGTTGAGCTTTAAGAAAAAGACAGTAACAATGTACTGGTAAATGTACTTTCTTTTTTTTTTTTTTTTATAAAGTTTTTGCCACAGGGCATGTTGTACTGGCCTGAGAGAAACAGTGAGAGGGAAGAAAGAGAGAAATCACCCCCACATAATCCATTCTCCTCCATTTTCCTCCTGGGATTTTGGGTGTGCATGCACAATCACCCAGCATAATTTTTAAGCTGCTGGGTCTGGGACTCAAACTGCGGTTGGCCATGTGAGAGTCCAGCACTGTAACCACTCCACCTACCTGTTGGCCCTGGAAAAACGTATATTTTACCCATGTTAAATTTTGAAGCTTGGCGGTTTATAGTTAACCTAGATTGTTTACTAGAGCACAAGTTCTTATCTCTAGTAACTTTAGTCACCTAAGTAGATCAGCCCAGTATTTCAGTCACAGAATCCTGGAGCTGCATCTGGGTTCTTATTCTATCAAGTCTGATAGTAATTTGGCAGGGAAGGATAGCGTGATGAACAGCTGTCTCAGAAAACCTGTACTTAATGGTTAAAGGTGTTCACACCCATTAACTATGAGTGACACCTGCACTGCTTTTTATAATCATTATCACAAATCAGATCATTGTTTTCTAGCTGTCCCAGAACAAAATTTAATTCAGCAAACATTTCTTAATAAAGTACAAAATTGCTCTTATAGTCTAGATAATGAGATAAATTTATAGCCTTTATAAATTTATGAATTTGGGGGCCTTCAGGATATTTTGAGTGACTTGGGAAAAGGTAACTTTATGGTGGAAAAAAACCACTTATATAGCTTTTATTTCAAGAAATGTTGGTAGTATTTTGGCAGAGGCTGTGTGAGGGTACTCAGCAGATAACATTCTCTGTTGCTTTAGTAATCTTCGACTAGTCTTAGAAGGTCATGAGTAGACAGTGAAGGAACCAAAGAGGTGAATGTAAGCTCTCAAAAAGCCATTCTTTCCTTATACAAAAACTATTGACTATAAACAAACAAACAAAAAATTATCTGGGGAAGAGCCATGAGCGAGTACAAGGTGCTGGACAGATTCTAGAACTTTTCTTTCCTGGTGCCATGACAAAGATTGGTTGTAGACCAGGAAGAAGTATTTGCCACCCTTCCTTGCCACCCTCATCACTTTAAACCTCTGGAGTGGTTAGCCACCTTACCCAAGTAATAGCTTTGGCCCCAGAAGAGTGTGCATGGAATCTCCATCCCCTCCCCCAAGCAAAGAAAGATCCGAGTCACCCAAGGACCTTCAGATTAATTGTCATAAGAGAGGAAAGTGAGGAAAGTTTCCTGCGGAACCAGCAGTTAGCGTAATGGCTATGGCGCTGGACTCCCACGTAGTCGAGCATGGTTCGCGTCCCGGACCCAGTGGCTTAAACCTCATGCCGGGCGCGTGTCCGTGCATGCCCAAGATCCCGAGAGGAGAATGGCAGAGAAGGGATTGCAGCGTGGCCATCCCCTCTGGGGGGTGCTTTCTCGCTTTCTGTCTCGCTGTCTCTGTCTGGCAAACGCACGCGCCCTATAGCAAAAACCTCTCAAAAAAAAAAAAAAAGAGAGGGAGAGGAAAGTTTCCTTTGTCTGGCACAGGGATGGCTCATGGAGAAGGGATTGCAGCGTGGCCATCCCCTCTGGGGGGTGCTTTCTCGCTTTCTGTCTCGCTGTCTCTGTCTGGCAAACGCACGCGCCCTATAGCAAAAACCTCTCAAAAAAAAAAAAAAAGAGAGGGAGAGGAAAGTTTCCTTTGTCTGGCACAGGGATGGCTCATGGAGAAGGGATTGCAGCGTGGCCATCCCCTCTGGGGGGTGCTTTCTCGCTTTCTGTCTCGCTGTCTCTGTCTGGCAAACGCACGCGCCCTATAGCAAAAACCTCTCAAAAAAAAAAAAAAAGAGAGGGAGAGGAAAGTTTCCTTTGTCTGGCACAGGGATGGCTCATGGAGAAGGGATTGCAGCGTGGCCATCCCCTCTGGGGGGTGCTTTCTCGCTTTCTGTCTCGCTGTCTCTGTCTGGCAAACGCACGCGCCCTATAGCAAAAACCTCTCAAAAAAAAAAAAAAAAAAAGAGAGAGAGAGGAAAGTTTCCTTTGTCTGGCACAGGGATGGCTCACATCACCTCTCAACATACATGAGCTTCTCCTGCTTCCAGAGGAAACAATAGCACTACCCAGCTACTGGAGGTGAAAGTCCTGCTCAGAACTTAGCGTCTTGACTGGCTGTTCCTGAGCAGCTATTCATAGGAGAAAACGGATTGACACGGGGGAATAGTTAAGGTAATGAGGTAAATAATTGCCTTCTCACTGGGGCTTTTACCGGCCAGAGAACTTAACCACAATTCCCCTTTGTGTGCTGTTTCTGCTGCCATTAGGTGGTTAGCTTGGCAACAGCGCAGGAGGGTGGAGAGCTCCCTCAGGAGCTGAGCTGTGCCAGTTCAGCCCTGGGGGATAGGAACTGTAGATCTGGTAAGGATTGCTGGAGGAGAGAGGAGCATTGGGGCTCGTTAACCTCTGTTGGAATTTGGGGCCTGTGAGTCATTTGTTATTCTATAATGGAAGCCTTTGGCTGTTTGCCATTTGCATTTTGTTTCAATCCTTTTTTGTGTTATCAGTCTGCGTTAAAGAATTCTTACTTTCCATTCCTGAGGCACATAGAACCAATTAAAGACTAAATCAAATGAGCTTAGATTATAAACAGAGAAGGAGGTCTAGAACCTTACAGTATGTTTTGTGGTTGGAAATTAGAAGAATATTAATGAGTATTCTTCCTTTTTAGCTATGAGGCCACATAGGTTTAAAAAAAATCTCATCCTTCCTTTGTTTCTCGTATTAAAAAGTAATAATAATAACTGGTAGGCCTCAAGCTATTAGACCCCTGTTCAACTGGAAACCACTAAAAAAATTGTTTATTGTAATAATGATGACTCAGAGAAACCTGGGCAGCATTGCCAATTTGGATAATAGGTTTCTGTCTCTGAGTGCTGCAGTCACTGGCCTTAACTTCTAATCCATGGGTTGTCACTAGCGACAAATAATTTACTTAGGTGTAGTACACTAGTGAATTTCTCATATTTCATTTAATTGCTAGTTTACCATTTTCCTTTGTGGATTTTCCCAGTGTCTGAGCAGAGCATCAGCTGACAGTTCCCTCTCCCACCTCTGACATTTAGGTGAATGGCTGTCTGCTGGACCCTGTGCCGCCCGTCCTGGTGAGGAAGGGATGCCAGTCACTGCCCAGTAACATGATGGAGACATCTATTGACGAAGGGCTGGAGACAGAGGGAGAGGGAGAGGCTGAGGAAGACCCCCGACAAGCCTTTGAAGCATTTCAGTCTACGCGCAGTGGGCAGAGACGGCACACACTGTCAGAAGTGACCAATCAGCTGGTCATGGTTCCTGGGACAGGTATGACATGGAAGCAGAACCAGGCTCAGTCCTCACTGCACTATCTCGTACTTCAGCCACCTCGAAGCAATAATGACACCTGCCAATTTCCAGAATTCGGTCTGGATCATATGCCTTTATGGGACAGATTCAGCTGGCTGTAGATTTAGGCTTGCACAGCAGGTAACAAAGATTAAAATGAGACGTCTCTGGGTTGGTTCCCTGAACTCCCAGGACTGCTCTGAGTGTTGTGTGACTCATCAGGGACTCTGGCACCTGGGGCAGAGTCCAGGTGCACTCCAGGTGCAGCTTCTGGAGTGTTTTCTCCACTAAATTTGAAGATGATTAAATTGACCTGTAAAGGTTTGAAGAGATATTTTGGTTGGAGATAGAGAACTTGGTAATTGTCAAAACTCAACATGGTACGTGTCTTATGTTCAAAGAAGATGCTATTGCTGTTGGTTATATCTGTTTTATTTTCTCTTCAAGGGAAAATTTTCTCCATGAGTGACAACCCCTCCCTTGACAGTGTGGACTCTGAGTATGATATGGGGTCTGTTCAGAGAGACCTGAACTTTTTGGAGGACAACCCTTCTCTCAAGGACATCATGTTAGCCAATCAGCCTTCACCCCGCATGACATCTCCCTTCATAAGCCTGAGACCTGCCAACCCAGCCATGCAGGCTCTGAGTTCCCAGAAACGAGAGGCCCATAACAGGTCACCAGTGAGCTTCAGAGAAGGCCGCAGGGCATCGGATACCTCCCTCACTCAAGGTGACTGCTTTGTTTTCAAGCTTTTAACATTTTTATGTCAGGTCTGGCCTTCTAGCTTAGCAGTTAGGGGAGCTGGATCTCACATGGCCAACTGCAGTTTAAATCCTTGCCCAGTATCTTGAAAAACATGCATGTCTAAGATGTGTGTGTGCACCTGAATTCTGACAGGATGGAGAAATGGAAGACAAAGGATTGCAGTGAGACACACCATTGGGAGGGTTCTTTTTCTCTCTTGTAAGCCCATGTACCTTCTAGCAGTGGGGGGGAGGGGGGAGTAGAGAAAATTTCTTTATAGGAATTGAAAGGGGTTTATTGCTGTATAGTTGTATATATTGCTGTGTAGGAAGGCCTTATCTTTTATTCAATCTGTTTGGTCTTTGTGCTTTCTTTCAGGGATTGTAGCATTTAGACAACATCTTCAGAATCTGGCTAGAACCAAAGGCATTCTTGAGTTAAACAAAGTGCAGTTGCTGTATGAACAGATGGGATCAGAAGCAGACCCTCACCTGGCATCAGCTGCTCCTCAACTCCAAGACCTTACTAGCAGTTGCCCCCAGGTGGGTTCTTTGGGTCTTTTCCAGAATGGCCCTGTGAGTATGAGGTGTGAGTTTCTCCCAAAGGTGTGTCATTTTCATTTAGAGGATTTCCTCCAGTATTGGAGCACACAGGTTCTTTATCCAGTGTTTTCTCTTGAGCCTATTTTCAGTGCTTCAAGGATATGATAGTATTTGAGGCCCACGTGAATGTGATGGCATCCTGGTGACACCAAGAACCTTTGCTATAGTATGGACTAGAAGTAATTGTGAATAACAGATAATGCATGTATACATCTTCTACAAAGTAGTTAACCCTCAGCCTACTTGTTATGCAAAAAGCTTCCAGTGTTATGTCTTCTAGAGCTGGAATTCCTCTAGGACAATTGCAAAGCTACTTATACTAAGAATTGAGACATTTTTCCTTGTGGAGAATTGAAAATTGTTTTCACCTCTTGCTCCTCAGGAGGAAGTTTCTCAGCAGCAAGAGAGTGTCTCCACTCTCCCTACCAGCGTGCATCCTCAACTCTCCCAGCGGCAAAGCCTGGAAACCCAGTACCTGCAGCATAGACTCCAGGTGGGGTCCATCTCTTTGCTAGTCCATCTCTCTTTGTTCATCTAGAGTCTGCCTTTCTACAAAGCAGAAACCTGCTTTTCTTGGTGTTTGTTTAATAGGATAACAGCTTTATTCTGATAGGCAGATAAGTTTGACTTTGCACTTGTAGTTTCTAGAAACATGTTTAGACGTAACCTTATACTCTTATGTGGCAGCAGGAAAGGGAGACCTGTTTTTGTTTTTGTTTTTGTTTTTTTAATTTTCTTTCCTTTTTTCCCCCAAGATTTAATCTTTGTGTATTATTATTAATTTGCTATAGGACATTTGCACTCACCAGAGAGAAAATGAGAAAGCAAGCCACCAGGTTGGGGGAACTTGAACTCCTGAACAGCCTGTGAGAATCTGGTGCCTTCAGTGTACATGCCACCTGTTGGCCCTATTTCTGATTTTCTCTCTCTCCTTCCTTTTTTTTTTTTTTTAAGTGAGAAGTTTTTTTGTTGTGTTTTCTTTTGTTTGTTTGTTTTTTACTTTATAAGGTGCATGTGCTCGCCAGAGAGACAGAGACAGAAAGCGAGAAATCAATCCCCAAGGGGGAACGGCCACGCCACAGTCCCTTCTCCTCCAGTTTCCTCTCAGGATTTTGGACACTCATGCGCAAGTGCCCAGCATGAGTTTTTAGCTGCTGAATCCGTGACACAAACCGTGGTTGACCATGTGGGAGTCCAGTGACATAACCATTAAGCCATCTGCTAGTCCTGCTAGTTTTCTCTTAATGAATAATAAATAAAAATTTCAAGTCCAAAAAGTATCAATATGGGATCTCTGTATCAGTGCATGAAATCTTTAAAAAATGATAATATGACATAGATTCCATAGAAGTCAGATGGTGCTGCCATGATAACACAACTGGATCCACATGGGAAAGGTCCTAGGTTCATGTTCCAGAACCTCCCTGAGTAGCTTGAGCATGCCAGTAATCCAGGCTGGTTGAGAATGGGGGTGGATCATGGTGTGAGACTCTCTTGGGCGTGCCTATCCCTCCCTCCCACTCTTTCTCTCTGGAGAAATAAATAATACATACATAAGTAATTTTCTAGAAAGAATTAGGCCAGTCCTATAACCTAGGGGTTAAAGGAGCCAGATCCTAGATGGTTGGCCACAGTTCAAATCCCAGCGCTAGCAGCATGAAAAACATGCCAGGCACGTGTGCATGCATGCAAATGCGTAATCCATACTGGATGAAGAAATGGAGGAGACAGGATTGTGGCAAATGCCCCATTGAGAGGTGATCTTTCCTTTGCTCAGTGTCACCATCTCTCTCTGATGAGTACACAGGTGTTCTAGGAATTAATTTTTTAAAAATGAATCATTTATTCAGCTGAGGCCTTTGATACTGAGATTTAACTCTATTTTTCTCCTGTTTCTTTTTGGGGGCAGGCTTGTTTTTAACACTTTTTCTTTATTCATGATAAAATATGTGTGCATGAGAGAGAGAGAGAAAGAAAGAGAGATCACCACCCTCCATTAGGTCTGGTTCCTTTCCTCTAGTCTTCTAGTCTGTCAGATCTTGGACATCCACACACATCCCTGGGTGTTTCAGGCAGACTGGGCCTGGGATTCAGATCATGATCACCAGGTGGAGTGCAGCTTCTCTCCAAGGTGAGGGCATCACCACTGTGCCACAGAGCCACCCCCTTATTGTTTTTTTTGTTAGTTGTGTTTTGGAGAGGGGTTTTTTTTTGGGGGGGGGTTGGGTTTTTGCTATAGGGCACATGCACTTGCCAGAAAAACAGAGACAGAGAGACAGAAAGCGAGAAATCACACAGTGCAATCCCTTCTCCTCCATTCTCTTCTCAGGATCTTAGGCACATACACACGCACCCAGCATGAGTGTAAGCCACCGGGCCCAGGACTCGAATCACAATCAACTACATGTGAGTCCAGCAACATAGCCATTACAATGCCAACTGCTGGTCCTCTTCATTGTTTTTTTATTTTCCATGAAACTCACAGTGGTAGAGGATTTGGAGAATTGGAAAACTGTAGTAGGTTAGACTGCAAGGGCCAAGCCTGCTGACTCGCTGCAGGGTCTTAGTGAGCAAGTGTCATTCCCTTCACCCTTTATAGATCCTGGAAGACACTCTTGGATTCATCCTCCAGGCAGAAGCAGTCTGAAGACAGCATCCGAAAGTACCAGTGTATTGTCATGTTTGTGTTGTTTTTCTGCTCTTTCAGAAGCCTAGCCTTCTGTCAAAGGCCCAGAATACCTGTCAGCTTTACTGTAAAGAACCTCCACGGAGCCTTGAACAGCAGCTGCAGGAACATAGGTGAGAGAGGGGGGGTCTTTGGTCCAGGAGGCCGCTTCCTCTGTGGAGGCCTTTAGAACACTGGGTGTGCTATCCTTCCCACTCGTGTCTGTCCCACCTAGGAAAACAGGTGTTGGCACATGTGTCATGGTCTTTTCAGGCAGGTTTGTTGATAATGATGCTCCAGTGTCTATGGAGGATGGTGGAGGATGGGCCTGTTAGGCAAAGGGAACCTGAACATGTGCTTTGTTTTTCTTTTCTTCTAGCAGTTTCCCTTTGGGATATGCCTAGACTTAAACTTTGAGAACCAGTGGCCTAAATCAGTTTAAGCAGGTTAGGCTGCAGAGGAAGCTGGAGTCCTCCCTGGCCCTAATTTGTGGCCCTAGGCTTCTCTTGTAGTCACAGTTTAGCCAAGGTTGAATTACTTTTTCTTCAAGCTGCAGACACCTGAACAAGCCAAGGCATTGTTTCCCCTTCTCACCACTTGGGATGAGAAATCTGCCCCTTGCTTTATAGAAAGGAAACTTGCATCTTAGAGAAAATGCACTCATGTTCACCTTACCGCTGATGGATCAGTCAGAACAGGGGCAAATGACAAGATTAGGCCACTTTGTTTTTCCTGGCCCAGGAAAAGGGGGAAATGGGGACTGAAGCTGGTGACTGGTAAGTAGATTTATACTAAAATCACCATCACTTGAGAAGATTTCAGATTCTTTTCTTTGGTATTGCCAATTTAGGCTCCAACAGAAGCGGCTCTTCCTCCAGAAGCAATCTCAGCTGCAGGCATATTTTAATCAGATGCAGATAGCAGAGAGCTCCTACCCACAGCCGAGTCAGCAGCTGCCCCTTCCCTGCCAAGAGACGCCACCACCATCACAGCAACCCTCACCCTTCAGCCTGACCCAGCCCTTGAGCCCTGTTCTGGAGCCTGCTACTGAGCAAATGCAGTACAGCCCTTTCCTCAGCCAGTACCAGGAGATGCAGCTGCAATCCCTGCCCTCCACGCCTGTCCCCCGGGCTCCAGCACAGTTGCAGCCACAGCCC